ATACATATATATATATACACACATATATACATATATATATATACACATATATACATATATATATATACACACATATATACATATATATATACACACACATATACATATATATATACACACACATATATATATAATTTTGAAATGCTCATTTTCTCAAACGGTCCTCACATTTTAAAGACATCCTCACTTTTTAAACATTAAATCTTCTCCTAAAACAATTCTTTATAAAGATTTTCTATATTTCATACAATTTTCTTTAATTATTCTTCAAACATTAGCCTTAAATAAGTGGTATTGTTTCCATGTTAAAATTATTTTTTCATTCCTCATTTATGGAAAGAAACCCTCACATTCCAAATTTGTTGTAAGTATGAAGAAAACATCCAGATTTTCTGCAGAAACAGTCCATTAGTCTCCACATTTTCCTGCCTTAAGCTCCACCAGCTCTATTCTCAAACATCTCACCCTCATCGATGGAGCTCCATGAGTCGGACTTGGTCACATGAACCGATGCGGACGCAGAAATCAGCTCAGACGACAGCGTGAAAACCCGAACAACACCAATGGAGGTTTGCACCGTTCTACTTCACCCACACTCCTCCGTTGAAGGATTTTAAAAAAAAAAGACTTTTTTTAATCCTCCAAAAGCTTATAAAAGCTAAATCCTATCGCTCGTTTCACCAACTGTCCCTCGAGGTGACGTCATGATCAGTCACTGCAGCGGACAGTAGGACCAGGAGCAAAACCCTCAACTGGATTTTATTCTAAAATGTGTTTACTGTAGATTTTCATGCTCATTAATCCAGGTATAAATCCAATAATGTTCAGTCAGGTCATCTGGACGATTTCTTTTGTTGCAGAGATGTTTCAGCTTTCATCCGAAGGACTTCTTCAGTCTGAGGAGCCACCAAAATAAACTGAATCCCACAAACAGCTCACCTCCAGAGTGGAAAAAAAACAGTTTGCTGGTTAAAAGACGGCCTCCGGGGCCCGCCCTCTGCCCTGTCAACTCCCCCAAGGCAGACCATGCCGAAGTGGTTCAAAACACCTAAGTTTGGGCTCCTCAGACTGAAGAAGTCCTTCGGATGAAGGATGAAACATCTCAGCAACAAAAGAAATCGTCCAGATGACCTGACTGAACATTATTGGATTTAAAGAAGAAACTGGCAAAACAGTATAAAAAATTTACAAACCAGTAGCAAAAACGAAAAAAAAACATGCTAAAATGATCAAAGTAGGTGAAAGAAGCAAAGTATTAGCTAAACAGTAGCTAAAATGATAAAGTAGAGTGAAAAGTAGCTAAATAAACAAGCAAAACAGTAGCTAAACATAGAAAAGCTTTATAAACTAAATCTTTCAAAATGTTAATGAAGAGCTAAAAGTAATAGAAGGGCAGCTAAATATAGCAGAACAGTAGCTAAAAGCTAATTGTAACAATGGGAGTTAAAAGCCAAAAGTGGCAGAAGAAGACAAAAATAAAGCAAGTCTTATGTGTTTATGTTCTGGTGTAAACACAGGATGTGAACAGGTGAGGAAATGTGCAAGGTTCATCTTTGACCTTGACCAAACGTCCCCATCATGTCCAGCATGGACCTCTGAGTCTGTCCTACCTGGAAGCGGAGGATGATTGTCCAGATGAGTCCCAGAGTCAGACGGTGGTTCCCGTCCACAATGTCGTGGGAGCCCATGTTCTCCAGGTGAACCCTCTGCTCCTTCAGGAACTGCAGAGCCTTGTCCACATTCTCCAGACAGTGGATCCTCATGCGGCCCTTTGTGGGTTTGGGCTGAAACCAGAGAACACAGAAGCTGTGAATAAATGTGTCAGAACATGAAACAGAAACAAGCAGCTGCTGACACGGCTCACCGAGTTCACAACTGACACTTTGTTGACCTGAAGAGAACAAGAACTGTCCCTGCAGCACCTGCTCACTGTTAGACAGGTGGGTCCTGAAACAGTCCCAGTGGAAACATCATGAACATCTGTGGCTGATGGATGAACATGATGAAGATCATTGAAACTGCAGCTGTGCTTTGGTTTCCTTCCACTCATCGTGAGCAAGATAGATATTTGTTTTGAGTTTTGCATTTTAACTGAGAAGTAAATTGTCCTTAGCTGTGAGTGAGAGAGTGAATGGTTGTCTCATTTGTCTCTATGTGTCCCTGTGATGGACTGGAGGCCTGTCCAGGGTGTCCCCCACCTCTCACACAGTGACAGCTGGAGGTAAACACCAACTCCCACAACCCAGAAAGGGGAAGAAGGTAAAGAAAATGAATAGATGATTTGTTTGAATCTGTCAGGGTGGAGTGATAAACAACAAAGAACTTCAGTGGCTTTAGAAACAAGGTCACACAAGGTCAAATTATACATGGCATTAGTTACGTGTTTGAATGTTATGTCAGGTCTGTTAACCTGACGGGACGTCACTGTACCAACTGTCAAGCACAGTGGTGGTAGTATCATGGTGTGCTACAGGGGAAACCACTTACAAATTAATCAATGTCGAATGAATTCAAAAGCTAGTAGGCCACATTCATGTCTCTAAACAGAACAATGATCCAAACATCAGTTAAATTAAAAACGTCTATTAAAAATGAAAATTAAAAAGTAAAGTTTTCAGATGATTGGATCTTGTTGGAGTTAAAACTCAGAGGTGAAGCATGAAGTTTGACCCAGACGACCCTGTTTCCAGCAGGTTCAGAGTTTCAGAACAGTGAAGCAGCGTTGTTATAGTTTGTTTAAGATTTCAGCAGAACGAACATTCCTGTTGTGAAAAGTCTCGTTTATTTCCCGTCTGCAGTTGGAAACAGATGATCGCTGTCAGAGCCGTTTGTTTTGGTCCAAATAAACCCTCAAAGTTTCTCAATGACTTCTTTCACAACTCAACTCAACTCACCCCCCCACCCCACCTAAACGCCCTCATCCATCAGTGTTCTGTTATTTACGGCCTTCTCTTCATCTCGACCGGAAGAGTTTCATGTTTAATTTATTATTTTTTAAACTACAACAACAACAAAAAAAAGAAAACGATGAAAACTGGAATAAATCTGGATCCAGGCTCGGGCTCCTCTCCGTGTGCGTTTGACAGTTTGAGAAAAGACCGGATGGCAGCGGAGCAGAGAGATGAGCCTGGAGAGGAAGAGGAGCAAAGAAAAGGACAAGAGTCACAAGACGGGGGGTGGGGGGGTCAGTGAGTTTCAGTTTGACTGAAACTTTAAAGGGCTCCTGTCTCCATGGAGACGGCAAACATGTTGGTGTTTAGTGCTTGCAAAATATCTCATGAACTAGTGGACAGGTTGAAAAAAACCTCAAAGTAATAATTGGATGTACTTTAATTATCTTGGATGTACTTTAATTATCTTTTGGAGTCGGTCTGGTCTAAAATCTAACGTTGCCAACAGACAAATGACAACAACTTACTCCAAATCACTGATAAGGAGGAAAAGTTCAAGATAGTCACTGCGAGCCATCCTCAACACATCAAACAATACACATGCTGGGATACGTGGTAGTGGCAGCCATCTTGAATTAACCCATCAAAGTTAAGTCAAGTCCTCCGGACGGTTTCTTTGTGTTGAGACGTTTGATCTTTCATCCAAAGGACTTCATCAGTCCGAGGAGCCACAACAAACTCAGTCCCGCAAGTAGCACCGTCACATAATGGGCCAGCCAGTTTGATGGTGATAAGATGGTTTCTGGAGTCCTCTCTCTCCACCGCCGACTCGTCTGAGGCAGCCATAGCCAAAGTGGTTCAAAACATCAAAGTTCGTGCATCTTGAATTAAATTGGTCATGAAACACAGCAAGTGATATCCAGTCCCTCATGGAATGTTAGGCCATTTAATCATTCTATTTACCTCACCTAAACAAAATGGTCCAGGTGACACGATTGAACCTTTTTTGTTGTTATCTACCTGGATGATTGAGCTTACAGCACATTTTTCATTCTCCTATTTAGTTTTTAAATCCTTTTTCGCTTTCGTCATGATTTTCAATAAGTTTCAGACCAATAAACAGAAAAACACCCGATCTGTTCAAGACTTTTGAAAGTACTTTCAGATCGAGTTTATTCTGTTGATGGATTTTTATCTCGTCGGCTTCAGATATTACTTTGATGCTGAGACAACAAATCTAAAGGAAACGTGTGGTACATCGCTGTCCCATAACGCTGAGGGATTTGAATGGTGAATGTTTGAAGTTTTTCTGGGAGGAATTGAACATTTAATGCAAATAAACCTTAGCGTCCTCGGTGCAAGATATTCAAGTGGGTAGAAGTTACACTGTAGATGAACAGAGGCAGTTTTTTTGTTTTTTTTTTGTCCGAGACAGCGCAGAGATCCTGATGAGAGGCAGGAGCTATTCTATTCACGACCAGGCACACTGGTGGAGCCAGGGGGTGGCCAAAGGTGGTCTGGGCAAACACAGATTAATCTTCAGCCACCCCAAGGGCCACCCCAATCGTTTGAGGAAACTATACTTGTAAGCGATATACGTATATAATATATTAGAGAGTAGAGTTTCCTCTAATTATTAGGGTGGCTGGTTTAGAAATACATAAGGCTGGAGCATCTAGGATTTTGAGGTGATGACCCAAGTTTTGAAAGAAACCTTTCTTACTCCTAGATGCTGCCACAAACCAAAATGAAAGTCTGTACCTCACTTGTATTTTAAATGATCATGCTAACAACATGGATAGACAGATGAATGGAAGGTATTTCTGATTCCCCTCTTGGCTCCACAATGGTAGTCAACTAAAGGATTTCCTCTGAAAACTTGAAAATGTGTTTCTCTTTCAAAATAAAAGCCCAACCCACCAGTCTCTCTCCTGACAGGACCTCCAGTAGCTTGATGAGCATGCGTCCGTCCCTCAGGTCCATGTAGAGGTCTGTGATTCTGCAGGACACTCTGGACAGATGGGAGTTGACCCACTTGGTGAAGGTCTTCTTCTGGACCGCCTCGCGCTCGTCTGCAACAAAAACAAGAAGACCGAGATCAGAGGAGGAGCAGAGAATGTGGAGAACCATGTGAATCTAAAAACAAAGAGTATGTGGTCTGGTCGTGCAGAACTCTACGGGTCGGTCCTGATCCGTTTACCCCCTCATTGTTCCTGAAAGCCCGGTTTGTGTTTGAGACTAGCTTCCTGTTTCTGATGCAGCAGAATGGATCTAAAGTCCTCACTGTAAATATTCCAGCAGGACAGTTTCCACCTGCTGATGGTTATTGTCCCAGTTCACACAAACACAGCCGTGTTCCCACAACTGGAACCATCAGCTGATCCAGTTCATCTGATTCTGAATCAAAAAGAACATTTGTCTTCAAATGAAACTTCTTTACAGAGATCTTAGAACAAACTTAGCCATTTCTAAGACTAACAGCTTAAAAATACAACTTCAGTAGATCTAACCTGCTGCTGAAAGGACACCGTTATTACTCTGAGTCTGTTAGCAAAATATTTCATGAACCACTAAAATGATGTGTGATAAAACTTTCAGAAAATAATTTATAGAGATACATTTACAACTGAGTAACTTCTGGAGTCAACACCATTTAAAATGACAACCACAGCCAAATAAGCCAACACACACACACGCATGCACGTTGCATGTGTGTGTTTGTTTCAGGTTACATTGTGGGGACCAATGGCTCCTTGTGGGGACCAAAGCCAGGTCCCCATAAGGAGAAGTCTTGTTGGGGGGGGGGGGTTAGGTTTACTAGTAGTTGCTAGTACTAGTTTGTCATTACTAGTACTAGGCATGCACTAGTAATGGTTAGGCTTAGGGAAAGGGTCAGGGTTAGACTATAGAAAATGAATAGAAATCAATGCAAAGTCCCCAAAAAGTTAGTTTACAAGAACGCACACACACACACAAATGTCTATAATACAATTAATTTAACAGGTTTTGTTCCTAATGTGGAGTGGAAGTAGCTGAGAGTCATTCACAACACGGTGTGAGATTGAAATTTAGACATTTTGCATGAGACAGGATCAATTTTCAAGATTTGACCCTGAATCCTGTCATGCAAAGCCTTTAAACGCTTTCAGTGTAACTTTTAAAAAAATAAAACCTCTCTCTTGGAGTTATTCCTGCAGAGCTTCTGAACGTTTCCTCCAGTGAGCTCTGAAACAGGCTCCGCCCATCTCCAGCTGTAATTCTGAGAGTTTTTACACCTCACTGACTTCTGTCACTTCTCCTTTAACCCTCACACGCTGCCATGAAAGCTGACAGGAAAATGTTTATTAACACTGTAAGCAAAGGTCAAAGGTCAACAAATTAACACAGTCTCAAAGCTGTACATTTCAGCTTCTTTTCGTTTACAAGATTACGCAGAGCTACCTGTAATCTAGCAGGATGAAAATGCATGTTCGTCTTTTAGCACTTTGGCTAATTTTTTATACATTTTCAGACAAATTTTAATTCACGTAGAAGACGGAGGCCATGACTCCCACGTTTTAACTCAATTTTTGCACACCCTTTGGACCAGCCATCTACTACAACTCAGATCTGTTTTCACAACTAGTAATAATTTTATTCTGTTGTAAACACGTCCAGCTAGTTCCGCAGGGCAGAGTAATTGGCACTTTTATTTTTTCCAGTTTTCCAGTGTCCCAGCTGCACATTCTCAATTTGAATGATTCCAAAAAAGCAGCAGGAACAAAAATAAAAGAAAATGCTTCCTCAAGGTGAGCTTGAGGTCTTTAAGGAGAACAAAACAAACTTCCTGAACATCTGACGGGGAGAAAACACCATCATGGTGTTTTTCTAAACCATTAGAATACATTCTGAGCATCACAGGTCATCACTGCCACCACTTTTCACTTAAATATAAAAAATAAAAAAAATAAAAAAAATAAAAAAATGGGTTTGGGGCTTTTGTTGGTGCAGGGTCATATAGGTGCTCTATGTTACCCTCTGGATAGGAAGCTCTATCTGCATAAATGTCCTGTAATCGAACCGTTTTGTATTCTAAATGGAAAACAGCACAGCAGGATTTTAACCTTTTGTGACAATTTATTTGTAGATGCAACAATGTGTGACCCTCAATAATGGAACACAAGATGAATTATACTTTTCCTGAGAAGACTGCCTTTTTTTGTTGAGGCACCAGTGCAGCACATTGCTCCTCGTACTCTGCTTCATGTCTGATTACCACCAGCTCTCAGGAGACGGCAACAATTCCAGGCAAAATGCATGTCGCAAACATCATTGGTCTTTAAGAATCAGATTCTTCTTACCAGAGCAGCTATTAACATGAAAATGGGCAAACTGTCTGCATGCAGCTGGAATAAATGCATGTTTATAGCTCATTGCTTAAAACTCATTAACAGATTCAAAGTGAACTAGATTAATTCATTGATTAGGTTTGCATGAGTTAAGATTTTGTTCAAAAAATTAATTGTACTTGAATGTTTCACACGTCAGAATAAAATGGCTAAACACACACGAACCTCTGAAAAGAGTTGGATACATAACCTAAAACTGAGCAAAAACACAGCCAAAGTCAATATTAGAAATATTACAGGAACGTCTGGCTGCTTGGGAAGGGGAATATAGAAAGAGGAGAGGTTTTTGGTTCTAAACTCGCTGGGAACAGATATATAGTTTTAGGACTTTAACGTTTGATAATGACTGTTCTTCCATTTTTTCCACATGTAAATCCCACTTGTGAAAAACACCAGAAAAAGTGTAAAATAATGTGTCAAAAACATGTTTCGTCTTTACTTCTGTTGTGACTTGTCGCTATATAAATAAACTGAATTTAATTGAATTACTTGTTGGAATTAACCCTGTTAAACTGTTAGTAAAATATCTCAAACCACTGGAAGGATTTCAGTGAAACCCCAGAACTTACTGTTCAAAATGGCTGCCACAGATAACAGACCTCGGCCTACACAACAATGGCAGTACCTCTATGAATGTTACAGATATTCAGCAACAATCTGGTGTGGTAGTAGCTGACAGTCATTTGTAGCACATTCTCCACATGCTACCAGACTGTGTGAGATATTGATCTCAAATTACTTGCATCATTACTTTGGAGGTTTATTTAAAGCAGATGATCTTGGGCCACCGTCCCACTGCAAAGTGGCCCAAATATGATTATTTTGCCCATTTTCAAATCATGTGGGATTTTGTCTGAACATAAAAAAAATCTGATTTTTGTTTCTATTGTCTGACCACAGTCTTTTCCCTATATGGTACTAAATCAGAGCCATCCAATGTTAGTCAATGCAACCTCAGTCATATTTCATCTAACTTTTACATCATTGATGTGGGGATACTGATAATACTGATGCCAACATAAAGTTGTGTAAAGACAAATTCCACGTCTTCAGCTACAGAAGTCTTCAACGTTTTGTAATTTGCCATGTCCTGAACGACTGAGAATTCAAGTTCAACTAAGTTTACTGTCATTTCACCACATGTGGTACATGAGGTGGAATGAAATTATGTACACAAGGTCCCAGTTACATCTAACAATAGCAAAAATATAAACTGTAAAAATTAAAGAAAAAAACAGTAAATAAGGATCCAAGCTATAAACTGATATATACTGTACATATGTTAAACACTAATAATGTAAAACTATACGGCGTATCAACAGCAGCCTGAACACGAGTCTGTGGTGAGCAGTTGGGTACGAATGAACACAGCAACATGAGATAATCAGCATGGATAATCAGCAGCACAGATAATCAGCAGCATGAGGTCAGCAGCACTGATAAATCACATATCACCAATTAAAGTGTCATTACAGTGATTATCCTGGATAGAGATTCATGAGTCTAACAGCCTCAGGGTAGAAGCTGTTCCTCAGTCTAGTCGTTCTACACTTAATGCTCATTAACCTCCTTCCACAGGGGATTGGGGCAAAAAGTGTGTGTGCTGGGTGAGTGAGGTCCTTCATGATGCAGGTGGTCTTCCTGCATCTGGAGGTGTAGATGTCTGTGATGGTGGGGAGACTGACTCCAACAGTCTTCTGTGCAGCCTTCACCACTCTCTGCAAAGCTTTTCTTTCTGCAGCTGTGCAGTCTCCATGCCACACGTTGATGCTGGAGCACAGGATGCTCTCCACTGCACACCTGTAGAAGGAGGTGAGGACTGAGCTTCCCAGACCAGCTCGTCTCAGCCGCCTGAGGAAGTAGAGTCTCTGATGAGCTTTCTTGATCAGGCTGGTGGTGTTGTTGCTCCAGCTGTAGAATGTACAGCTACATATGATACTATCATTGGTGTCGGATTGTATCGATACTTTGGGCAACATGGCAGGTTAGTGGTTAGCACTGTTGTCTCACAGCAGGAAGATCCTGGGTTCAATCCCCGGTTTTTGCCTAGGGTCATTCTGAGTGGAGTTTGCATGTTCTCCTCATGTTTACGTGAGTTTTCTCCGGGTACTCCAGTTTCCTCCCACAGTCCAAAAACACATGTTCGGCTGCCTTCAGGCCCAGGCCTCTCTTGCAAAAGAGATTAGTGATCTTAATAGGGTTTGCCTGGTTAAATAAAGATTAATACAAAATAATTCTAACATGATCCTCGAGTTTGTTTCACTTTCAGTACATCACTCGCTTCTAGAACTGCAATTCTACACCCGAGTAGCACAATAAAGGACCAGACAAGCACAAAAAATAATAATGTAGCTGGCTCTGATTGCACAGCATCTTCAAAAATCAATACACATATGCTAACATGTGTTGCATCTGCATTTACATCAACAAACAGCATGCTACATGCGACATCACGTCTTCTATTACGCATGCACGTCGAATCCAGACAAAGAATAACACAGGAGTCATGATAGTTGCATTTAAAATAAAATGTGAACCACACACAACAAATAGATCTGATCAAAACCTCAGAACTGAGGAATAAGATCATCAGAGTAGTCTCAGTTTAAATCTTCTGCATGGAAGGTGGAGGGCAATGTGCGTATAGAATGCTAGGCCTTTAATCAATGTAGTTTTAAGTAATT